GTGTCATCGGGCCATTGCAAAGTCCAAAAAATATGACCCAAAAGTGCCAAAGTTGAAAAATGAGAAAGTTGGCCTTAGATTTGGCTTGGGGCATCAGCTCCTTTATCTTCTGCTACATTGCCTGACCAGCTGGTGGGACTACAGTGTTGTGAGTTGCTAGTGTCAGTTGAGTGCTGCACCAATCTGATTTTCATTCACTCATCTCATTCTGCGAAGATATCAAGGTACTTATGAAGAAGGACTATAAGCAGCAAGCATTTGCAGGGGTCAAGGTATTCACAACTGCACTGCCAGACCTCATTGACAATTTGTGCAGAAGGGAGTGGTCCTATCCCCTCAAGTGCTTGAATCACAGTGCACAAATTTGACCTTTCCTGAAGCTTGGTGGTTTTATGACCTCTCCTTGATATGAACTGTATGATTTGGGAGCCACTTGCTGCAGACAAATCCTCACATGCAGATGGTCCGTAAAGGAGGGGGTACAGTAAGGATGATTTGAAGGGCTCCTGGGCGATAGGGGCTCTAAAAAACTGAAACATAATCAGATTGGTCTGGGATGGAATTCCAATATGATATGCTGTCTTGTAGCAAAAAATCTGTAGTGGCGCCCCTGCACACATGCTTCTTCACTGCAGTGCACTGGCAGGTCTGGGTCTGAAACAAAGAGGGCAAGTGGTGAGCTGGTGCCTCATGTTGTCAGTGGAGATGTGTTGATTGAAGGGTCTCTTCAAGACTACAGTGTGAGCCCCATAATCCTCCTCTACTCCTGTAGCGACATCCAAGAGAGTCTACAGAGAACTTGCCTGTGGCACCAGCACCAGGAATACTACTGTTTTCTGATTATCCCGGCGAGTAGCTGGTCCCAGAGTACTTCAGCAGTGGTTCTCTGGGGTATCCTGTCAGTCAGTGTTGGGCTGTGGTGGGCTCCTTTCCATCTTCTTAGCAGGCAGCAGCGCCTCAGTTGAAAATGGTACATGGTCTTACTCAGTGATAAGCAGAACTGTCATGGTCACCTCTCAATTGGCTTCCTCAAAGTGGGTCTGCTTTGGTTGTATGGTGGCAGCTGTAATCCTAGTGTGACCGAAACAGTCAACAATACCAGCTGGGTTGGGGTCCAGTAGGTGCTGGCTCTCTATGGTGGCCTCTGACAGGCACATCCATACAGCCTTTCTCCTGCTAGTAAATCTAGGGGAAGAGGGGTGGTGTAGCAGCCATCTCAGATCTTCCATTGCCAGACTATCTATTCTGCTGTTTACAATATTCCCTTCTCTGACAACCATGTGGAGAGCTAGTGTACATATCGAAACTGATATTCAGCAAACAATTTATTATTACACTCACTTCGCACAAGTTTGAACACGTTTGTTGTCATTTGGCAGCACCATCACCATGATGGTGACAGAGATGTTCACAAGTCACAAAATTAGAGTCTGAGTGAAGTCTCCATCATGGTTCTAGTATGACATTACTATTTGGCCAAAATTTAACAGCCTATTTGTTAATTAGTGTGAACAGTGACAAACATAGCCCAAAGAGGGTCCAAACGTGACAACCATGGGCGTACATCCCGGGGGGGACGGAGGGGACATGCCCCCCCCCCCATCCCAGGGTTGTCCCCCCCAAAAAAATTTATTTAAAAAAATCGCACTCTCTATTGTGAAAAAAATATGTATGTATACCTAAAATAATTGTGTAGGTAGAAAAAAACAAGCAAACGCAAATGCATTTAGAAACAGTTGAGTTCCCGCTCCCCTTCCTCACAGTGGTTTGGCCCACTGCCTGCTTTCCAGGTTCATCTCACCTACTCCACACACACGAGTCAGGTATGTGGCTGCGGCTCATTAATGTTGAATTCCAGTAAGTATGGTATTTTATTCACTTTAAATAAAGCGATTCTCTTTAATGTAGTTGATGCAGACTCTTTCATAAATTAGTTGCGGCAAAAATGCTGATTACCGATGTAATTTTCCATGAATCTGCTATATTAGCGATTAAAATATTACTTATCTAGTTAACGTTAGCTTGTTTACAATAGCTTGTTGCATAGTGCACTGTAGCTAACACGCCAAAGCCGTTTCCCATGCATTGTTTTATTTGTGACGACTTGGCATAATGTTAACTTAACATTAACGGCCACAATTAGCATATTGTTTAGTTGTGCATTTACTAAATGAGCACTGTGCTACGTCCGAACTGACCCCACTGTATTTTTTTGTATAATCAATTTCTATTATGCATTTAAACAGTCATGTTTAAATTTTATTGTATGTTGATGGCTTGACTGTAAGCAACATAACAAACAATGCAATAAATAGTTTTGAAGAAAAATCTGCTTTGTCATTGAACCTGAGAAAATTTTTGAAAATAACCATAATGATGCAGTCTCTATGCTACAATAATAATGATAGAAGCAAAGTTTTTCACTGTGGGGACATATCTAATTATAAGTACAATTTGACTGTATTATTTGTGTCCCCTTGCTCATGAGAAATTTTATATTTATTGCCCCCCCCCCCCTACTGTTAAATGAAATTTACGCCCATGGTGACAGCATCAATCAACTGACCATGCCGAATTCTGCCCACAACTGATGCATGTGATTGGCTAATGAATGAGCATAACCAAGACTCCGTTTGTTGTAGTGCTGCTAAACTGCTAATTATGGGAGAGCGGTCAGTGATATTACTGTACAATTGAATTTGCTGACGTAATTTTGAACACTACAAAAATACAGTTTGACTTGGAAGGGTATATCAGAAATTATAATGTGTTTTTGGGACATTTCAGCTAAATTATCAGACTTATGGCAATCTATACCGATCTGTGTCACTGTATAACAACACAATGTAGCCTATATATAATTTATGACACAGGTTAAACAATACCTATTTCTAAGCAGTGCCTTCTAATGTAAAATGAAACTCAGAATAACACTTTGTCAGATCGGGTCCGCAATTTGTAGTAGTGACAAAACAGAAAAAGCATTGTTTGTTGATATAGTCTGACGATATGCTTCTCCGGCTCCAGTTACTATATATGCTCCGTGCACAGTTCCACACTGTGATGTATTTAACTCATGTACAATTTGAGGAGAGTGGTAGACTCAGTGCGTTGAACGGATTTTGAACAATTTTTCTTTTTGGTGAAATGAAAGTTTTGCTTTGGGTTCACATAATCCCTTTGTATAACGAAGAACTCACTGGTCTAAACTATAATTGTGGTGTAAGGAGAATTGCGATAACACAGTCTGTTCATTCAGTTTTTAAAGTTCTATGATTGCCTGAACAACTGTGATCTGGATGAAAAATGTCCACCGTCACTGCTGGTTACACACAGCTCTGCACTTACAGTCAAGCAGTTCCTGTGCACCTAATTATGGCCAATGCATTTTATTTCAAAGACAGATCTCCCTAATTTCATCTCTTCAAGCCCAGAACAGATTTCATCAGCAGTCCTAGAGCCCAGTTGTCCATTTTATCAATATCCCTGGTGATTTACCACACTCACTTTGGTCAGGGAAAAGAGACACTCTTTCGATTACCAATCCCAGTGATTAGAACTTCAATTACTTCTCTATAATAATCACTGAAAGAAGCAATACATAGGCTACAGCAAGGGAGCAGAGGAAACGTTTGTGCTAGGATCTTAAGTCTTAATTTTCTGTTAGTGCGTACCTATTCCATTATAGCTCAAAATACTTTCTTCATCCTTCACTGTTGTTAAAAAAAAATCAGGCTCTAATAAATACAGTGGACCCCTGTATCCTCTGATTCAGTAACCATAATTTCAATTATTTGGTTTACCCTGGTCCAAAAGTATTATGTGGAAATTTCCAAAAATAATATTTTTTAAGAAATAAAATTCCACATCGAAAATAAAAATGTTCTGTACAAGATATTTTTCATTGCTCCATCCATTGAGGGTTACTTTTATTATAGTATAATTAATTTATTTTATAATTATTTATTGTTGTTGATGTTTTATTGTTTGTAATCGATAAGACTTTCTACGAATACCATTGTTGCGACCATGCTCCGGCAAGCGAGCAGTGAGTAGGGAAGCAGATTCTGGACACACGGAAGTCCAGCAAATGGGGTTTATTGCAGGCACAGGTACAAAGATACGGTAGACAACCTCAATGACAGACCTGGGGAAACAGACTTGAACGCGGACTAAATACAGGACATGACCTCAGAATAAACGCAAGACAGCTGATGCGATGGGAATTGGCACGGGGTTAACGAGGTGGGCGTGGTCCACGAGAGGGATGGATGGAGGGATGTGACAACCATGTCTTTTAAAAATCTATTAACACATTCATACACACATTCATAAAGAATTATAAACATGGCCATAATTATTTATAAAAAGGCATAACACAAAGCATCCTTAATTTTTATACTGACCTTTATAATGCATGATGAAGGCTCCCTTATTGCATTATAGATGAGAGCTTCACTGGAGCTTATGAAGTTATAATCAGCACTATAATGTCTTATGACTATGAATAGAAGATGTAGTGCTCAGTGCTTTATTAATTATCATATTCACCATTATAATGCAAGTTATATATAGTGTTTGCTACAATCCATGGTTTTGGCTATCTGCAGTAGGTCTTGGAATGTATACTCCGTGGATATGGGGGAGGGGGGGCTTACTGTAATGCATTTGCCTTTAGAATGTATTTGTTTATTTTCTATTGGCAAGCAGGTTCTCTGAAACTCTTTATGAACACCTATTCATATAATCAAATATAAGTTATTTCTTGTATTTTGCATAGAAGAGCATAGCATTGAAAGGTTCATATCGAACTGTAAACATTTCCCAGGAGGGAATAAAAATTAAATGTACAAATCCATCTTTTCATGTTCTTTTTGGATGTTTGTGTTGTTGCTAACTATGAATAGCAAAATGTAATGATTAAACTGAAGCTATATATGCATATAAACAGCAATAATAAACAGCTAGCTCCGTAAAACCGACTCCGTTTTCCTTCCCAGGATCGGTGAAGATGTCGTTCATGTGTCAGAAGGCAGTTACGCAGGAAAGCACTTCCGCATGGGCTTCATGACCATGCCGCCTCCCCAGGACCGGCTACCCCTCTCCTGCGGCTCAGGCTTCTCTGTGCGCTCTCAGTCCTTACACTCTGTTGGAGGAGGGGACGAGGATGGCAGCCCCAGCTCCCGCAAACAGCCACCACCCAAGCCGAAGCGGGATCCTAGTACTAAGCTGAGCATGTCTGCAGAGACGGTAAACACGAGCGTGCCCTCAAGCATGTTGGCTAAAGACCTTGAGAGGTCAGAAGGTGAGTTGTGGGTCTAACCACCGCCAGTCTTTCTCCAGTAGTTATAGTTAATGGCATGTTTACTATTTGTTTGTTCATTTATTGTCCATTCATTTGGCAATAATCTCCACACTGTAAAACCCAACTAGTTAAGTTAACTCAAATGATTTGAGGAAACCGATTGCACCACGTTGTTTGAGTTTATCGACTCAATCATTCAAGTTACTCATATAACTCAATCTATACTGGCAATCTAACTCAAACACGACAGTTAAGGAACTAAATTTATTTGTGTCATAGTAACTTAATGTGTTTATATTATTGACTCAAATAGTTAGGTGTTGTATACTTGATAGTAAAATGTGTTGAAACTAAGACAAGACACTTACTTGTACTCAATCCATTTGACATTTCAAACTCAATCACTTAATAAAAGTTAACATAAATGAAGCATTTTTACATACTCATTTAAAATGATTACTTGGCTGTATTTAATTTTTTCATTCCTACTTTAGTTTTAGCATTGCAATTTTTCAAAATTAAATTAAGGAAAGCACTAACAGATTCTCATTCTTAGTGTAACAATTATTTATTAGCAAAGTGCACTTTGTACTTGCACAAACAGTTACACATTTAAAGATAAAAAATCAATAAAATGTCCATCAATAAAATGTCAACTATAAAATTGTTTCTTATGTACATTGAGGAATTATTCACACTTGTGTAAGGTCATCAACAAAGAATTCTAAAATGCACTTTCTGTAGCTTAACATTTCCTTTTAGCTTAACCTTTCCTTTTAGCTTAACCTTTCCTTTTAGCTTAACCTTTCTTGTAGCTTAACACTTTTTAATTTTTTTCACAAGTTCTTGAAGTCAGTGTCTACCAACAGTATAAAACTAAAGAATATTCAAAACATGTCTTGGCTGTGTTTAAAAACACACTAAAACTGTTCAGCTGTTAAAAGTTTTGTAGCAATGTAACAAAGTGAACGATCTAAACAAATTTCCTTGAACATTAAACATTTTGCTGAACTGGATATGGGAAAATGACTCAACACTTAACTAGTTCATTTTTCAGAGACTGCAGTTTTGGTTTAAGCTGCCTGCGATCACTGCTGAGTTTTAACAGTACCATTTGAATGAACTCGAAAAAACCAGAACATTTCTCTGGATAGCTCAGATGTAGAGCATACATTAGGCCAAACAAGCAAACCAATGCATCAGTCCACGAGCTCTGGGACATTACCACCTCATCTTCCAACACAATGAACACTTGTTTAGTGGAGAAGGGCACTCGACCTGCAGGAACCTCCTCTTCAGTCATGGCCACCAGTGCGACCGTTCCTTCTTCAAAGTCCATTTCATCCTAAGAGAGAAAGTTTTTTTTAAATTCATTCACTTTGGAACAGCTTGAACTTGCTCATGTTTAGTTTATTTTTAATACTATTTATCAATCATCAATACGAGGTATGCAAGTCCCGTTCCTGCAGAAATTCAGTCCAAAGCTACACTTGCATGACTTTGGTCCATCTATCGTCTGTGAGACACAAACAAGTGCCATGTGGCCACAATCTTTATTATGTTTAGTAAATAAAGTGCATGTTGTATTTAGTGTCATGTTATTGTCGCTCATGGCTCTGACCTAAGATTGAAACTGAAGACAGAAAATACAAAGTGACTGAGTAGATTCTTTGGTCTCACCTGTTGACAAATAGATGAGATAGAAGTGAAAATAAAATTAGACAAAAATTAGATCTCATTTGTGCCTCAGACATGTTTGAGCAGAAACACTTTCCCTCTGTAAGGGAAGAGGGAGGAAAGGTAGGAAAAAGAAAAGATGAGGGGAGAAGAGAGATAATAGAAGATGAGGGGATGCCAGATGAGATGACAGTGAGAGCAGAGAAGAGGGAAATAAGGAGAGCAGACAAGACAGGAGGAAGAGGAATAAGAAGAGAGATGGGAGAGGCCAAGAGGGAAAGGAGGAAGTGGAGAAAAGGGGGAAGAGAGGACAACAGTGGTAGGAGTGGAGAGGGTAATGCAATTTGTTTTGTACTTAAAAAAACTGCACCTTGACTGTTGTGAAGAGTCTGGATGAATCCTCCTTTAGGTAAACCACGAGGCCAGACAGAGCAACAGTCCTTGTGGCATGTATGTCATTTTTGTCCTAAAAGGATGACAAACATAAAATTAACAAAATGACAGCAAATTGAAGCTGTCCAAAGTACAAGTTACTTACCTGTTTATCGTAATCCAACAGAAGTTGTTCCATTGTCTCTCCAAGGCGCCCAGTTTTCTTCTTTCTGTAAAGCTTGATAAGCTGAGGTGAATATTCATCCAGTGCTGCATAAAAAGCATGCGGCAGATTCTGATTGGTGATACGAGAAATTCAAAGTAGAGCTAGGGGAAAAGTACAGAAAAGTGTAAACTGTACTAAAAAAAAGCTACTATATATTATAGTTTTAAAAGAGAATAGTTCAAGTTAACCAGGCAAATTCTTGCCATAACATCGCATGTGTGAATTCCTAACTATTAATGCTAATCTCATACACCGAAGCTAAAATCAAGTAAAGAAAACCGCCACTTACCAACCACATGGTGCTAACAGTAGCTTGCAATGTTAGCTAGCGTCATGCTAGCGCCATGCAGTCGAAAACACAACCATGTAGCATAAACGTTTTAAAACGTTCGGAATAACACCCTAAATTTTATCATATTACAAACCGGAGCCAAATTTCGATGTTTTCCTCAGTGAAATACCAATATATATGCTAAGTTGCTAACTATGAGACAAAACTTGTACACAAACTTGTACTTTGTAGTATAAGCATACAACATATATATATATATATATATAACGCAACTTCAAATGCAGCCTGTTTCACAATTTAAAAAATCTACTTTTTCGACATTTTTATACTTACTCAGACGGGGACCTCTTTAACGTTTCTGCAGCTCTTGAAACTGCTCGCGTGAGGGTTGTGTGCAAAGCCAAAGTCACGAGTGGGCGGGTTTACGGTTGACAACTTTTCATGGTCGTAATAAATAGTAAAAATATTTACAAAATGATAAAAGCATGTAAATAGATAAAACATTGGATAACATAAGAACAATTAGTTTGTCCTAAATCTAGAAATTAGAAAGTAGAAAGAATTGCGCTGAATTTCGAATTGCGCTGCTGATTTGTAGTTACCGACAACAACATTTCGACAGCATGACTGTCTGGCAGAGCGGGTAAAACTAAGCGACTAGGTACGCGAAGATCCGGGTACGATTCCCAAGCGGCCCCAATTTATTAGAAATTATTAGTGTTTAAATTGTTATGGTAACACAACAATTCTTTTTAGTGTGTGTGTGTTTTTTAATAAAACTCCAGCTTGCTGTGGTAATGCAAATATTTTTTTAACATAAGACAATGACATTCAGTATGCAAATTCATAATAGACTAATAGAATCTTATATGTAATAGATATTTTACAATTTATTGTTTGTCCTGAAAAAATATGCATGCAGTTTAATGCAATTGTCAACACAACTTAAACAGTTCAAAACCATCTTACTCAAAGTGTCTCAAAAATTCATTAACACTCAATTAATATAAGTTATTACGTTATTTTTTTACCTTTGGGTTTTAGTTACCCAATTACATAGGGTAATGTTAACCTTTCAGCAGAACTGAGTTGGAATAATTAGTTCAATTAGTGAGATGGTATGTTGGGTTTTACAGTGCAGTTTTTCATATAAAATATGATGAAAATACTCAGTGACTTTTGTCATGTTTCCAAATGGCTAGTTGCTTTATTTACACTTGAAGAATCCATAAATAATTCAAGGAACGTCATTATGCATTAACCAGTTGTTACCTGTCCTTAAGATCTTTTATCAGGAATCAGTTAGTCAAATTAAAAAGGAGACACAGGTAGTGTCAACCACTTGTGACCTACAAGTTTCCAACCGTCCAAAGATTATAAATTAAAATCATACGTCTAGAAATTCTGCTTAGGATGCCCGTGTGTGTTATAGTGATGTTATCCCATCCCATCCAGGACACACCACATCTCATACCCTTTTTCTCTGGGTTTGTCTTCAGATCATGACCTAAATTACAGCAGTCAAATGAAAATTGCTGCATGCTCAAGCTTGTTCTGTTCACATGACCATTAAATACTGAGTGACTAACTATTATGGAGTCTATACAAGAAAACATGAAGTTTTGTGGAAAACCTGACTAAAGTCCTACTGAGGTTAAGCTCCCCATTGTACACTGAATAATTCATATTTGACACAGAAACTGTCAGTGGCAAAAAGCCACAGGTGATATTGCTCTAAATATCTCAAGTGAATGGCACGTACGATTCCATTTATCAAAGGCGTATCCTAAATGCAGATGTTTTTGTATCTTTTCCAGCTATTCTTAACAGAGCTTCCCTTGGGGTACGTTGCACTAGCGTCAGTTTCTTTACAGAAGCTTAATGTAGATCTGATATGATACTTTCAAGAATTAAAGGTACCTTACAGTTTCATAAATAAGTGAAGTGAAAAATTGTCAACACACCACAACAAAATTGGTCCTCTACATTTAATCTATATGTAGCACAGCAGCTGTTATTTAGAGCCCAGGAAGCATTGTGTGGGGGCAGTACCTTGCAGGTCAGGGATTCAAACCAGCATCCGTCCAATCACAAGCATGCATCCCTAGCAATTAGGCCACAAACTCACACATATAGTGACCAGTAAAGCAATTCGGACACTTATGCCATATTTATACCATAATATCAGAATTTTATTAAGATGTGTAAAAAATGTTGTGCAAAATTGCATTTATGTTATGTTATTATGTTATGAAAACAAAATGTGTAACAAAAAGAAATTGGTTAGATGGTAAATTATAGAAGAATACACATGCTGTTCAAAATTATGACAAAAGAACTATTTGGACACTTAAATCTATTCCAGTTCTCAGGCTTAGTGGGACATGTTCAAGGATAATGTGATGATAAACTACACCTATGGGAACAACACCTGTGTCCCTAAAGTTAATTGACTTATATGCTCACTATAGATTATCTTGGAACAGTTCTTTGAAAGTAATTGTAAGCATCATTTGTTTGCAGTAAGAAGGCAATTCTGTTTGACAGATTAGCAAAAAGATTAATCTCCCATCTTCCACAGTTGGCTATATTGTTAAGAAAAATAAAGATGAAGGATTTGTTAATTAATGTGAACAGAAAGCACAATGGCAGACCAATAAAGACCACCAGCAGATTGGACATGCTAGTTATAGGTATAAATTTCTGAAATAAAGAAAGCAGAGTTTAATCCTTAAATCCGACACTGTGGTAAAGTTAGCTTTACATGTAATTTTCATTTGTGATATATTTCAGTGCTTCCATGCGTGTGGAGTGGTAGCTCTGAGACTTGGGATCTGTGCCAGTAATTGGAAGGTTGCTGATTTGAATCATGTGAATGCCAGGAATGATCTTACTCTGTTTGGCCCTTGAGCAAGGCCCTTAGCCTGCAATTTCTTCATCCTGGGTATGATGTTAATTTACATCCAGCCCTGCTAGCAGATCCTCCCACTTCCAGGGGAAAACATTTGGGGTTGGTGGTGGGATTGGTACTCCAGCCACTGGAAAAAAACTCACTCTGTTCAGACTAGTGTGGTGCAGAGGTATCACCCACTGCATGGCTGTACTCATGTTCTCATCCCTGAGGTGGTTTGTTGTGTGGTGGGTATGGCAATGTGCTGTAATCAGTGCATGCTCCTTACCTCTCCTCCTCTCTATGTGTGCACTTCACATTCAATAGCCCAGCTGTCTTGCTTAAAATTACTGGCAGTGAATGGACACAGTGCAATTATTAATAAATACATATAAAACACAGTACATTAAAGTTACGTGGTGCACATTGTCCACCATAGTAGGCACTTACCATTTCAGCATGAACTACTGAGGAGGTGCTTACCCAGTTATCTTGCTGATTGGTTGACCACAAGCATCAGCATTAACTTTTAAGTTATGTGGAAGTGCAGGGAAAAGAGATAGTAGTGGAGCAAGAAATGAGCAGATGGGATTATATTTGTACCTGTTACTTTTAGTCAGTCAATGAATATTTTTTTTGCTTGCATCAAATTCTGGGCCCTATGCACAAACCCACATGACCGCCCGCCCCCCCCAAAAAAAACAGCCTAATCACACAAGACTTCACTGGAATTTGGCCTATGATGTTAGGTAACCTAACATCATAGGCCTGCATGAAAATTGAACACTTTTGCATTTGGCTGAAGAGAACAGCTTTTTATCAAGTAGCCTATTTATTGAGCCTAGGGGTAGGAAACACACTATCACTGACTGGGGCATGATCACACTTTTCTTCAAATATCATAAACTTAATTAATGCCAAATAAATTATTTCTATATATTTGTTTTGTCTTTACATTCATCTTTATTTTAATGTACATTGTAAATATGTCATATTTATGTTAAGTTTGTAATTTGACATCAAAATATAGACATTGCAAAATGCAGTTTGGAACACTTACAGTACATAGTATGCAATGGTGGCAGTTTTGATCCCAGATATCTGAACTCATGAAAAAATGAATAAATGGTGTAGTTGCAACATTCAGTTGGATAAATAAATAAGAAAAAGCAAACTCAGGTCACTATTTCTGGTCTCCTTCCATTGAATATTTAGGAGCTCTCATGTGTAAGCATGAGCCATTCACACCTGGCCACATCCCCCCCCCCCCTTTTACGGCGCTGACGGGGATGTATCTGGATCGCGTTTCACGTCTGCGTTGTTCATCAAATTACCATGCGAATGCGATTTCAATACGCGGAAGTGCGGCTGTTTAGAATGTGAATAGCGATCTTCACGCGAAGGCGGTACTACACGCCTTCTATGCAGGTAAAACAAAGAAAGGTGACATTGTTTACTTTTACTTTTTGCCGATTTAACCTAATTTTAAAAACTTTAAATACCTCCGACAATGGACGTTTTGAAAAGAAGACAGATTACAGATTTAGCCAGCGTTTTTCCCATGATTCTACACGAACATTTCGGCGAGATATAAACTGAAATAGACGAGAACCCAGGGGGTTAAGCAAACAAAAAAAATATATATATATATTTAGACTTATCTAGATTACATCATGTTAAGCTATGTGTAATTTCGCGGTGATATTGAAGTGTTTAATAATCACAGTTCATTTAATGTAGGCTATTTGCTTTCACATTTGGGCTCACCTTTCTTGGGAAAAAAATTTGTAAGCAGTTGCTTTCCCTCATTTCTTTTTTTTGTTTCTTTCCTGCCTCTCTTTTCTTTTTTGAAAACCGGATTTATCTTTCTTTGGCATCATCTTCCAGCACGGATTCAGCTGTTTCAGCAGAATGACCGCTAAATTAAATGCGCCTAGTTAAAAAGCCCGGTGAAGACTAAACCATTGCAAGGGGTGAGGGTGCTTTTCCTCAGGCACTGTAAGCTAGGAAACAATTCAATCCGTCAACCGATTTATTTTCCCACAAAAATTACATTTACATTAGTTACCAACATTTATTGTGATCTTTGAATAATATTAATGTTTAAAGGAAAATAAAATTCCAGATTCCTTAGGGGCCCTCCCCCCAAATGGGGCCCTGGTAACTCAGTCCCCTTTTTCCCCCCACTACGACGCCCCTGAGAACACCTATCAAGATCACTTTTTGCCGGAGACATGGTCATGCACGAGGTGAAAAGGTGGGAGCACATCATTTACAGGACCACCACTATTCCACCAAAGGCTTTTGAGGTGACGCAGGTGAAGGATGAGGTAACAGTGAGTGTTTCCTCGTTTTCTGGTATCACCAGATCATCCCTGCAGTGCCAAAAGTATATTGTCAGAACACAGGGAAAACATAAGCTTACTGCTGAACGAACACAGTGACTAGGAACGAGGACTTAATTATGGTTGTGTGTGTTTTTTTATTTTAATTTTGGGTTGGCATTTCACAACATATAAATAAAAGTGAAATCTTTATTCAAACAAAACACAACCTATAGTTTTAAGGTGTTTTAAAATGTTCAAATGAATGATAATATATATATTTTAGGAAGGCTAACTTTAATGGTATGAGACTGAAACTAGAAACTATAAACTGGATGGAATTAAATAGCAAAACTGATGAAGAGGCATGGTACTTTTTTGAAAGCACATTATTGCAAGTGCAAGAGGACTTCATATCTGTTTCCAGCAAGAATAAATCTAGGAAACTGCAACCAAGGTGGTTTACTACAGAAATTAAGAATAAAGTCAGGAGGAAAATGACTCTCTTCCACAAATGGAAAATAATCTAATGATTTCAAAATAAAGCAGGAGTGTCTAAATCTACAGGTTGAGTTAAAAAAATAACATTGGACTCACAAAGAGGAATGTAGAACGGAAGATTGCATTGGAGGCAAAGGATGACATTAAAAGTTTCTTCCAATATTTTAACTCCAAAAGAGCTCTGAAAGCTGAAATGACTAATTTACAGGATAGTAAGGGCCCTATAATTGAAAATGAAATTGAAATAGTAAATGAGTTTAATGATGGCCCTGATGGCATCTTACCTATAGTTTTAAAAGAGATGAGGGTTGATATTATTAGCTGTTATTAACCTTTAACTTTATTATTTCAGAAATTCGTATCTGTATAGAATATCAGTTTAACTTGCATCACTGGAAAAGTAATGGAAGCTATAATCCAAGTGAAAATTATAGATTACCTGAATTCATATAACATTCTGAGGGAAAGCCAACATGGATTTAGGAGAGGTAGATGCTGTTTAACTAATCTACTGCAGTTCTTTAAGGAAGCTACAAGAGAAATTGATCACAAAAAGGCCTATGATGTGATCTATTTAGATTTCCAATAGGCTCCTGCGAAAGCTCAACGCTGCAGGGATTTTAAGACCTGTAGCAGCTTGGATTGAAAACTGGTTAACAGACAGGAAGCAGTGGGTAGTTTTTAGAGGCACAATGTCATAGTGGGCCTGCGTTCATAGTGGGGTACCGCAGAGTTAAATTTTAGGACCACTATTGTTCTTAATTTACATTAATGATATTGACATCTCTAGGTGTGTGGAGTTTAAGTCAAGGGAGGTGATTCTAAGATTATACAATTTTTTGGTTAAGACCCCACCTAGAATATCATGTGTAGGTTTGGTCACCATGCCTTAAAAAGGACATTGCTGCCTTCATGTTCAACGTAGGGCTACAAGAATGATCCCTGGTCTTAAAGGAATGTCTTATGAGGCCTCAAGCAAAAGAGACTAAGGGGGGACATGAACCAAGTAATAATAAAGTATAAAGTTCTAACAGGTCTGGATGCTGTTCAGCCAAATGGCTACTTCAATATTAGTTTAAATACTAGCTCCATCAAATCAGAGCTAGATAAGATTTTAACAATTATGGGCTATTAGTTGAGTTCTCCCCAAACAAGCTTGATGGGTTAAATGGCCTCCTTTCATTTGTAAATTTCTTATGTTCTTATTTTCTTTTGGTGCTTCATTAAACAGTATGATTACGCTAAAGGACCAGATGTACTCTATAATAAAACGTATATAAAATAAATTAAATTAAATAACAAAAACACCATTACTGCACTTCCAGCGCATACCTGTATCAGTAACAAGTGGCATACTGTACACCTGCTCATTTCTATAAGGCACCACTTAAATACCATTTAACAATGCACCACTGACTTTTGATGTGTTTGTTGGTCAAAAGTGCGATGTCATTTTGCTGCCTTAAAATAACAATGCACTGACAATGTGCCCAGATACGCCTCATTTAAAAAACACCACTCCTACAAGCATGAAACCGGCGCAAAATCATTTGCTATTTTGAAGACATGCGGGAATGGTGTTAAATTGAGCTGGTACGAAACTAGAAAAACCTCTTTGCATCGTGCTTTGCACTGGTGGAAAATAGGACCCTTTGTTTCTACCAACCAATTGAGTAATCTATGACTGTGATGCTTTATGCTCAGCTGATTGGTAGAAATAAAATCTTGGTCTGGATTTGTAGCTACTAGACCTGAAATGCCCCACACTGTTTTTATTCTATGTATGGCTTTGTCCTGCAATTTTTTAAAACAAGTCCCATGAGATGTCAACTGAATGTTTTGATTTAAGCTTTGAAATTTGGGATTCTTCACATCATAACCTAAACTCTCGTGATGTTCTCCCAGTTGCCTATCAAAATTCTGCATGCAATTGAGGAAATAATAATGCATTGTGATTTTAATATTAACACTATGTCTTAATGTGATAATTTTTCCAGCCCTAATAAATATATAAATCTTAAAAACTATGGCACATGTACACGTAGATACAGACACAACACACACATACGTGTCGTGTCTGTCTGTATATGGGCCTTAATTTTTTCCCCCTTCCTCTCTCTACCCTACTTGAAACTTCCTATCCTGAGAGAAAAAGGCCCTAGACAGAGATCCTATATTTAGAAATGATGGGCTGAACGGAGCAATTGACTGTCTCACTGCAATTTACAGAGGTGCCCACACTGTAACACACACACACATATATATATATACACACATTTTACTGCGCACTTAGACATACATATACACATACATATACAAAATTGTAAACAGACACATTTTGTCAGCATATATGTACAAAATTGTTAATGTGTCCCTCTACAAATTTCACTAATTAGATTCTCCAAGGTCTTTAATAGGTTACAGTCATTGAAATCACCAGCACAGGTAATAAACGTTTATACTAAGAGGGGAGGAATTCAGGGAGGCCATCAAATTGGGGCCAATGGATCAGGCAGAATCTCTTTGGGACATAAACATTTGCTGAGCTTTTGTACAAAGGTTCATGTGCACATTAATCTGCAATGTGTTGATAAGCTAGGAGTTTTTGATTTACAGTATATGAATGACCCAGATTCTTCAAAATACCCCCAGAGCTACATATAATGATGTGAAGGAATATGTACTCAAACCTTCTTATTACTTTTTAAATTTCTCCAAATGAAGGAATAAAAGTAAAAAATAAGGGCAGAGGTTCCATTATTATTGTTCATTAATTTATGCTTATAGTTCCAAATAATACTAATTTCTTATCATTTTTAATGTTAAAATATTCTGTGTTTTTATGGTTTAGCATCATCCAAGTCCCGACTTTGCAATGAGGACTACAAGAAGGTGCCACCCCCCAAACCGAAGAGGAACCCCAACACCCAGCTGAGCACTTCATTTGACGAGTCCTACATCAAGAATCACGTGGCCAGTAAACCTTCCAAAAAGGAGATGCCCTTGTCCCAGAGCCTGGCCCGTGACTCGGATGTGGATGAGCCGGTCTACATCGAGATGGTGGGCAATGTGCTTCAGGACCTCCAGCGAGATGATGAGGACCAGAGTGAGGCTGTGTATGAAGAGATGAAGTATCCTACTTTGGATGACTTCAGTCAGGACTCCAAGTGGGACCACCTTAGTGGTTCATCTCAATGCCCAACACCCACTATCCCTGACATGGACCTGACACGGGTCTCCACACCCCGGGGCTCATTGTGTGACATCCCTGCCCCCTTTCCCAACCTGCTGTCACATCGCCCCCCCCTGCTGGTGTTCCCTCCTGCCCCTGCACAGTGCTCTCCAAACTCAGATGAGTCACCTCTAACACCACTGGAGGTCACAAAGCTGCCTGCACTGGAGAATATGTCCTATATCAAAACTAGGACATCTCCCACCTCTACTGAGTCGCTGACATCCTCGCATCGTAGAACAGAGAAAGAAGCCCCTGTGACGCAGACCATCACATCTTCAGGAAGGTCCTCTGCACCCCCTATGCCTTCCAGCCTGTACAAATCCTCGGGCTCTGCACACGGGTACCCACGCAGCCACTCGGCCTGCCCCTCTCCCGTCAGCATGGGCCGCTCTCTCACACCTCTTAGCCTAAAGCGGCCCCCACCCTATGATGCTGTGGTAGTGGGGCCCATGCCTCGCAGTGCTTCTGCTGTGCCTCACTCTTCAAAGATCTCTTCTCAGGAAGGGACTAAACTGTCAAGCTCCTCCAGTGCCCATGGATCCATGCAGACTGCGCCACGTTCACGCACCCCCACCAGCCCATTAGATGAGCTCACCAATCTTTTCACCACTGGGCGGAGTCTTCTAAGGAAGTCCTCTAGTGGCAGAAAGTCCAAAGAGCCTGCAGAAGGTGAGTATTCCAATCCGGTCAGTTGCCCTCACCAACATTAGATTTCTAATTGTTATTGCCATTCGGTGATGGCAATGTTCTTATGTTCTTATGTACATACAGTGATTTGGGGGGCAGCGGGGAGTTATAGTGCCCTATACATTATTCATACAAAAATTATATGAACAGAACTATTTTGTTGTACGTAATTAAAAAAAATATCTTTATATTGAAAGCACAATTCCACAATTCTTATTTGCCTGTGTTTTTATCACAAATTATTTATTTAATCCATACTATCCTCTGCCGTTGTCCGATACCCCATAGCGTTCCACACATGCTGAGTATGTTTACAGATTTTTCACCATATAACTTGCAGTAGTGTAGTCTAGCACTCCTGATTAGTCTGCATGCTCTTTAATGCTGCCCCTCTCCATTTAAACAGGCAGGCATTGTAAACTATCACATTCTGCCACTAGGCCTGACAGAATGTTACACTGCAAGACTGACCTATTTATAGAGCATTTGCTTCAGAGAAGCTGAAGTACTATATGGCAGGGATGAGAGAGATCACTGTGGTAGACAAGAAAAAAGTGAATGCATTTTTACCAGCAAAAACCTGTGCTCACCAAGAACATATATGTACACCACTGGTGTGTGATATCTGTTTGCGGCTTATTACTTTATTTACTCTGTTGTGCTTAGATGCCCTGCTTTGACACAATGGATACCTGAGATGTAAAAAACAAGGATGGGAAGAAATATGGAAAGTCATTGTGAAGATGCATAAAAATCCAGCAACATTGGAAGCCTAGGCACATATAAGGCTAAGGAAAAGGCAAACTCGCTGTCAAGTGTGCCTCTCATTGAACTACCACCCCTCCACCTGCTGTTACCATGGTGGTAGGAGATTATGCCACTACACAACAGAGAAACCATATCTTTTGCTTTTGAACATTGTATAACCATAATGTTTAATAATAGAATGAATCAATTTTTAAATATAATCTTTCAGTCTTGCTAATTAAATTGGTGACAAAGGTTAAAAAGTGTTACAATAGTAAGACGGCTTTCAGTGTTGATGAAGAACACACTTCTGTTACTTTTGAAAGTAACAGAGACTTGACACCATCAAGGGTTAAATGCATCTTAAGTTAGATCTGTTTTTTTAGCCTCTTTTTGTGGGGTGCAGTGGCCACACGCCCTCAACCTAAGCTCTTTCTCTGTAATATTCTGGTCTAGTCCTGCATGGCTGAGATGGCAATTAGGACTGAAACACTTGGCAGCAAAAATAGTGGAAAGCTTTCATCAGTTAGCAAAGTAATTTTCTTAATGCTTCCCAAGAATATAAAGGATGTGATGAATGTGTCAGCCTATAAACCTATGTTTGATATATGGAGGAAGGAACAGCAGCTTGCAGAGCATGACAGAACAGTGTTTTACTGTTTTGTTTTGCTTTATATGTGTGATGTATGATTTTATGTTGGATTGGGCTGTGCTATGTTATGCTTTCTGTTTGCCATGCATTAAGCGAATTAAGTGATTACAAGTGAAAGGATGGTTATGTTAATAACAGCCATCAACCTGATTGTGACATTGTAATTTTATTTCCGTAACCATCATTAAAATTATCTGCCATTTGTACCACAGTACCCATTATGTTGGTTCATACCAGACTGGAAAGCCTTCGTGCACATCTTGGTCATCTTGGCCGTTCAGCACTCTGTTAGAGATTGATGGTTTTTTCTTCCTTGGACTACTCTCAGTAGGTATTCACCATGACTGACTGTGATCACCCTCCAAGCTTTGCCATTTTGGAGATGCTCTAATCCAGTCGTCTGACCTAAATTTAGATCTTTGTCGCTGCTATTTTTTCTACATTCAACTTGTCGACTACAATTACTAAATATTAGCTAACTGTCTTCCACTTCACTGTATTTCTGTCATGCTATGGTAGTGTTATTATGCGTGTGCACTACTGTGGCTCAATAGAGACATCTTGTGGACAATGTGATGTACTGCCTCTCAGGGAGGCAATGCTTGCAGTCAGCATCAGTCGTTACAGGTGTCATTTGATATGCCTTGACCCCTTTTTGGGCAACGGTAATAATTTTTTATGACAGAGAAATGTATTGCTTGAATTATGGTGTCACTTTCTAAAATAATCTGAAATGTAACTAGATCTTAATTAATTTCATAAGAACAAAGAAAGCCCATTAAAATGTATAAAATGCATTTATTTATTGAGCAAAATTACCCAGCATTAAATGTTCACATTCTGGTGCCACTGTAATGATTGCTTCAATTATGAAGGTCTACAACAATTCGCCATTTTTTAGAGATCAACTCAGTAAAACAAAACTGTGGAGAGCTAAAATATAGATCCAAGATTAACAAAAAGTATTAATGCAGATGCATTTATATTAATTTCAATATTTGATTAAAAGATTGTTCCTTCCTTGCGAGAATTTGTCTGCCACAAAGTCAGGACTGGGGCCAGGAAAGCATTGTTTGGAAATTTATCCTTGAGATGGCTTAATGTTACGCTACACCAGTTATCATGTTGACCTTACCCATATTCTATAAATAAGACAATTGCCTCTGTTACCTATTTTTGCAGCTGAGATCAAGAGTAAGAGCCATAGCACTGAGCCACAGCCCAAAGACGACAGCAAAGACAAGGGAGCCATTCATGGCCCACTGCCCAAGGACTCCCTAAAAGCACTCGAGATGGATGGAAAGTCAGGACAATCAGGCAATACCATGTCTAGCAGTTTGGGGTGTTCCTATTTCAGCCATACTATGATGCTAGGGAGTAACATTTTAGGTGAGGGTTCAAGGGGGACAAATTTGTGAATCAGGGTTGATATCTTAACTCTCTGAGTACCACTTGTTTACTACTACTGGAAATATAATCAGACTTTGTTATCTACATTCAAGTCTAGTGGTGGTATTTTGTAATTTACTAGCCGAATAAATGTCTTTTTGACATCATTTAACAAAGCTTTTTTCAGATCAAGATGTTTGTTGTTAACTCAACTCTACTAATCTTGCAGAACCCAAAACGGTGGCCAGAGGGGGACAGTCAGCCTCAGTGTCAGGTGTGGTCCCCAACCTGGGGACACCCCAGCGACAGGTTCCAGGGCCACAGCAGAGCCAGGTACCATCACTCACCAGTGAATGAACTTGTGTGCTGCCCTTGTCCTACCTGTGTCCTATCCATGTGTCTGCAATCCATCTGTCTGTTACAAACTGATTCAGGTCCTTTTGACTGAAAGTACTGTGCTGTGTTTGTGTCTGTCAAAACTTTTTCCAAATCTCTTCAATTTAATGTGTGTACGTGTGTATACACACACACATGCACACACACACACAAGTTTGTAATTATATCTTTGCGGGGTCTCTCCATTCATTTCTATGGGGAAAACTCTAATCCCAACATGACGACCTTTACCCCTACCCAGCCCTAACCTTAACCATAAGTAACCAAACAAAATACAAGACTTCTGGCATTTTTAGTTTTTTGATTGCATTCACAGATCTGTGTCAGAACCTGAAAAATGGTCCGCACAACATGAAAAACAACTGGTTTTTATTACATTATGGGGGACATTTGATCCCCACAATGTGATATAAACTTAATCCACACATACACGCACACACACACAAACACACACCAGGGTTTCCGCGGGTCTTAAAAAAGTCTTAAAAAGTCTTAAATCACTTTTCCGTGAATTAAGGCCTTGAAAAGGTCTTAAATCAGACCAGCAAGTCTTAAATTCATATGATCATGGCATTAATTTTTGTGAGGGATTGTTTCCTCGTGTGTTTTGATTTTAAAGAGAAGCAAAAGCGTAATTTCTGTGCTACATGGCTTAGATCGCTCAATATTCATTGAACGGTAGATGGCGTTATGTGCTGCTTCATCTGTCAGTAACCCGAAGAAGAACTTGACAAGCATGCGCAGATGAACCCTTTCTTCTAAAGCGCGCTATTTAGACATGTAGTGCGATTGGAAGGCCGAAGAATACGTATATTCTTATGATTCTTATGATTATAATATAATATCATAATTCTTATGATTATAATATATTCGTATGAATTTCCCTACGATATTTTTTTTTTCCTTAAATTTTCTTTATTTGGTCTTAAAAAGGTCTTAAAAAAGTCTTAAATTTGCTCTTAGAAAACCTGCAGAAACCCTGCACACACACACTTTACACTGTATATGTTAGAAATGGGAATTCGTATTTGAATAATATAACAAATTTATCATTTGAAGAGATTTTAATGTAAATTACAATTACACTACACATCCAAGCTCTCCCGAACATTCCAGGAATCTCCCACAAATTGACAGTGGCTCCCAAACACCCACAGGAAATCTGTTGTTCCACTATTCAACAGCAGTAAAATTAGCTGGCAAGAAGTTTTACTACCACAACCCCACCCTACTCGGTCAGCAAATTTTACTGCAGCAAATTTTACCCCATACAACACCCCCCAGGCTTGGACGGTATATAATTTTTAATACCGTTATACCGTCCAGACATTATATTGTGGTATACAGTATTTTGATGGCATTTTTAAATAATTATTTTCTAGTACTTCCTGATAATTTGCTGAGTGCAAGGTGGGGTATTACTATAACACCACTCAAGCCTAGCCAGCAACCCTCTTCCCAGTTGCCACATCCCTGAAATCAATATGCATAAGGTGGGATATCTGATATATAATAACAATATTATATATATATATATATATATATATATATATATATATATGTCTGATATATATATATATATAACAATAAGGTCTGCAGCAACAACAAAAATCTAAATTGGGGTGCATAAAAGTAAATTATCAAACGATTGACATTAGACAGTTGACATAGGCTTAGGTGCATATAATAGCTTAGAACGTAAAAGACATCATGTAGTTAAATGCTGCCTTCACTTTAGGCAACGTCTAACTAAGCTGGGGAGTATTTAATTATTCATACCATCATACTGCCCATACATTATACTGCAGTACATGGTATTTTTATGGTATTTCCAAAGCAACACTATTCCGTTATTTTGAAATATTGGTGAAGAAATTCACCATGCAGGGGGATGGGGTCCCCACATTAAAAATCACTGGTGAATCCAGACAGTTTTCAGAATGCGCTTTTCTGGTTTTCGGGAGTTAGTGTACCCCTGCATTCTTATTCTGCTTAGCACAATATTTCACTAGCTTCCTTGCTGGGTAGTTTCAGCCTAGCTGAAGGGGCAATGTGTGGCTCAGTGGGCTAAGCCTCTGTGCCTATGATTGGAAGATCGGTGCTTTGAACTTCACCCTCAGCAAAATAGTCAAATATTTTTGAGCCCTTGAGCAAGGCCCTTAACCCCCAGCTCCAGGGGCATGCGGACTGACCCTGTGCTGTGACCTCCAAACTTGCTCTCACCTGTGTATGTGTCAGTGTGTGTCATGGAGAGCAGAATGGGGTAGAGAAAAAGAACCTTTCCAATGTACCTGTACTCACTCTTGTGCAAATGGCAAATAAAGGATCATTTCATTTAAAGTTTTTTTTCAGATGTCTGCCCTTTGTGGCAGATCCCTTATTCTACATTAAGTGACAAGGGCCATTAGGCAAAACAAAAATGAGAAAATGCATGTTAAGGTCGTTAATAGTGGTCTGCATAAATCTTCAAAAATTTAAATGGGGATTTTTGCTGTCGAATATGTAAATGTTTTAAAAATTCAAATTTTATTTGAATAATAAAGTTCAACTTTCCGGGCCTAGTATATATACTGTGTATATTTATAACATATACACAAACATCAATTCTATCTAAGGCAAACGTACTCCTTTCAGACATTTTTATCCTCGTTTGTTTCGCTGTTTAATACATCTTGTAAAAGTCAGATCCCAAAACACTTTAAGCACTTTGTATACCTCTAATTTCATTGGAAGTTTTTTGAGTCAATGGTATTTTTAATCACTTTAATTATTATTTAATATGTGCATACAACTGCATGTCTGGAATTAAATTAAATGCTAGTGTATGTTTCTGTATGCATTATCTTATTAGATAAAAGTTATATTTTTCTTTAGTTTAATTCTATTGTATTAAAAACATATAATTTTCCTGCCTTGTAATTTCATAAGACTTCACCTACTGAAATCAAACAATAAAATCAGATCAATTAAAACTGGAAAGTTGTATATCGCACAAATTAAATAATTCTGATATCAATAATTTTGTTTTTTTTGGGCAGGGGGCTGGGGCATCATTCAAATTCTCAGTATGTAAACAGAGACATATAGTTTATAAATCAACAAGCACATTACAGTATTATCTACAGTCTATTAGAATTAATGCCCTCAGAGCTTTGAATACTCACATACTCCCACATACCCGACATATGTTCATTAGTCACACACCCTGCCACAAATGCCTAAGCTATAAGAGTATACTTATATTTTCAGGCAAATATAAGATCATCTTAAATAAATAAATGATTTCCAAAACCATGATGTCCAATCTTCTCTGTGGTGTTGTCCTTCTTTTGTGTCTGTGTTTATGTCTGTTTAATGTGAGATCTTTTGTTTGGTGTATGGCAATTTGACAGTGTACTATAAGACATCAGTAAAGTTAGATTGTACTGAATGTGTTGACACTACTTCCCTAAATTTCCTACACTAGGGAATGACATGAAATGTTGCAAGATTTATTACTTGACTGGCAGAAGTGTATTTCCTTGGTGAATTGGACCTCTCAGCAAAATTACTTAATTACACATTTGTATCTTTATCACTAGCAACACATCCTGACAGTCAAAACATTCAGCCAGTTGCACTTGCTGACATTCTGAACATAAATATATCCATTCCATACCTGAGAAGCAAATGATCAGGTCTTAGTGGAGTGTACATAAGAACATAAGAAATTTACAAACGAGAGGAGGCCATTCAACCCATCAAGCTCGCTTGGGGAGAACTCAACTAAAATCTTATCTAGCTCTGATTTAACAGAACCCAGGGTTTTAGCTTGCACTACACTAACAGGAAGACTATTCCATACTCTACACCCTGTGTAAAGAAGTGCTTTCTCAAATCCATTTTAAAATGTTCTCCCGCTAATTTCCACCTATGGTCACGAGTTCTAGTATTTAAACTAATATTGAAGTAGCTATTTGCCTGAACAGCATCCAGAGCTGTTAGAATCTTATAGACCTGGATCATGTCCCCCTTAGTCTCCTTTGCTCAAGGCTGAACAGATTCGGCTCAGCTCACCTCTCCTCATAAGACATTCCTCTAAGACCAGGTATCATTCTTGCAACCCTACATTGAACCCTTTCCAAGGCAGCAATGCCCTTTTTAAGGTATGGTGACCAAACCTGTACACAATATTCTGGGTGGGGTCTTAACTGCTCCCAGAATGGTGCATTTAACCCTCTTTTTGCTTAAAGTGCATTTTGTACAGGCATACATAATACTGCATACCCAGTGAACTGCTATATGCAGCAAACTATACATTATACAATCAATATAATGTGTAGTTTGTACAATGTGTGCAATCAGTATAACACTGACTGTGTGACACAGGCAATATACTGTAAACAGTTATATCAATGCATTGGTTGATCTCCATGCTTTGCTCCTCTTTGATCCAGCAAGGGTACCACATTCTGTTCCTTCAGTTTCCTTCACCCACAACATTCTCCCTCCTACCATGTTCCTTCCCTGTTACAGAACACATAGATTTTTTTCCCCAACAATGGGAATATCAACACTATGTACCCCCAGCAGGTGGCGCCCTTACCATGGGTGCAGGGGGACAACACCATGATGGAGATGATCGAGAAGAAACGCATTTTGTGTAAGGAGATCAAGGCTCGGCAACGGCTGGATAAGGGCTTGTGCAAACAAGAGAGTATGCCTATCCTTCCTAGTTGGAAGAAGAGCAATGGAACAAAGAAGTGTAGCCCTCCATCATACTCAGCCCATACTACAGTTTTCTGGGACACTGCCATCTGAGAGATAGTCCTGCCCTGTTCCTGTTGTCTCAGCCAATCAGCTTGCAAACAGGGCAGCCCAATGGTTAGCCCAATGTAGCAAATGAATATTTTTGAGGGTTCAGGGTTATAAAATATTCCAAATTGTTTATATTTAATATTTTTCTACTCAAAGAAATGTCAAAATAAGATTTTCTTAGTATTATTAGGTATTTTATAAATAAAAATGAATTATTAATAAACAAATTGTAGGTGGAGTAATGAGAGTCTTGTTTATTTTAGCTTGTTCTGTGTTTGTATTACAAGGCACTCAAATACACCACTATCTGTTAGTCTGAAAGATATGAAGTGCTATGCTACTATTTATACGAACATCAAGAGTTGTTTTCTTACAGTGAGAAAAAGTACTATTTTAAATTGAGTATATTTTGAAAAATTCTACTGTTGTGCTAAGCCTAGCTTTTTCAGGCAAATCAATCCCCAGTTCCCCATTGCACAAGGTGCTGAAGGTGGTTTGGGACTAAGCTAGCCTACTAATGTTTACTAAGAAATGAAGCCTTGGAAACGGGCATGGTGGTCTTTGTGATGCCACACATCTCTGATGACCTTGCTGCTAAAGTGTACAAGTGGGATGTTTTCTTTAGTTCAATGCTTTATTTGATATAGATAGCTAGGGTTGGCAAAAAGCACAATGTGCAGAAGATGATTTTGTTCTGCTATTATATGGAATCTAAAAACAGCAATGTATATTGACTTTAGAAAGACAAAGAGATGACAGTATTTTAACAATTCAAGTAGCCAAAATATGGTGAACAGATGTATTTCAGTGCCTAGCTTGTACAGAGTGCTTGGCAATAATGCTTAGAAACAAGCAGCCCAGAATTGTGGCATGTACCAACAGCAAGATCGCTTGGCTATTTAAATCGTACCATTGTCTTTATAACATACTCACAGTTCACAACATATTAACTTAAAATTCCTAAAGCTATTTATATGCCAAATGTGAAATAATGATTCATATATTACTTTAAATGTTGTATATAAATTTTTTCTTCTTTTTTTTTCATTTACAATATTGCTTTTGAATTAAGAGTATTTCAACATAACTATATTGTTATGGTGACATCAGTTGTTAGTTGGATGGAGCATGGTGGGGGCTGCTGTTCGATCCCATAATAGGAGAGTGACTACATACTCCAGAACTGCAGCGGCCGCTACCCTCTGTTCTAAGTCATCGCATTTTGTGCTGGTAGTGATCACAGTCAGGTGGTGTATTGCCACTGTCCTGATCCTGCTGCCTTGCACTTCTGTACCTGTTCTTGGAAATGCCCCTCCAATGACAATGCAAGAGATATCCACTCAGGGTTGGTGTAGCCAAGCTCAATATGAAGACCCAATGGCTTTCTTGCCTGCTTATTTCCCCTGTCCTGGGAATGTTGCAACTATATATTTCTTCTGACTTTTATTGTTCAGCCTTGTTGGGCCTGTACTCACATTAACCTTGGTATTTCTCCTACATCACCTGGTTTAAACCAGTGCCAGAAGACATCCCTGCTAACTGTGTTGTTTTGGAGACCAAGGTTCACTGTGACTAAAGAATGTGGTCATGTTGGGCTTGATGGTCATTAACATAGAGACTGCAGGCCTGAATAACACAATGTCACACTATGAATGGTGTCGGGGAATGGAATCATAAGAAAAAAATACAAAAGTGAAGCAACTGAGCTACCAAATAACCAGTCTTGAATTGTCCCTCAAGGGGCAGCATCCATTTATTTAAATAGTGGACCCAAAACAATGTTTTGTGAAATTTGAGTGGTTGTGTGTGATCTGAACACAATTTTACTGAAAATATCCATTTTGCTGGTTATTTGTGTAATACAAGCAATTAAAAACAATTGTTTAATGTTTAGTTCTCTACTTTTTCACGTGCATATTGAATACGATGGTGTATAATTAGTTTTGTGCAGGCTGCACTGCAACCAGTAAGAAAAGCAGTCTCACAGATTTGTATTTATTGTACTGAGAATATATAATTCTTATTTTTTTAAAAATTGGGAAAGCTTGTTTATTGTAACTCTTTTCTTTTCAGAATTTATAGAGAATGGAATAACTTGAATATTTTTTGTTTACATTTTACAGAAGGTGTATGTAAATGTGCACAGAGAGCTACTCTGATTGATGACAGCAAAACCTCCATATTATTGCTTAAGCTGGGCTTCTCAGAATAGAAAGAATAAATCCATCCTTTATAGTGTAAGGAAATAATTTTTACTTGAGACCATACAGAGGACAGAAATTACTATAAATGCACCCAGTGAGTTTTACCTAGTCTGTGGGTGCATTTGTGATAAAAGCCATGGATCCGCAGTATCCACTTTACATGCTGGTTTTCATTCAAACCCTTTAGCTAACTGAAAGGGCTATTTCAAAATGAGGTAAATGTCATATCTGTCATATGGTTGCAACCTTTAATAAAGTTATGCAGGCATTTTTGTGCTAATAAAATTACATGTGCACTTAACTTGTTTTGATTCCTTGTTCCATTTTAACAAAAGAAATTTGTATATACCTCTCCTTGGATTGCTACCTTATCGTGGTGGAGGGGTTTGCATGCCTCAGTGACCCCGGGGGCTATATTGTTGGGGGCAATAGCCCCTGGTAGGGTCTCCTAAGGCAAAAAGGTCCCAGGGGAGGTGCCAGACAAAGAGCAATCCTAAAGAACCCTTATGACAAAGAATTCTACCAAGGTCTCCTTTCCCTCGCTCGGACTAGGGTCACCGGGGCCCCACCCTGGAGCCAGGCCTAGGGGAGGGGCCCGTTGGCGAGCGCCTGGTGGCCGGGCCTTGGCCCGTGGGGCCTGGCTGGGTACAGCCTGAAAGAGGCACGCGGGACTGTCCCCAGGTGGACCCACCACCCGCAAGGGGAATGTCAGGGGTTTGGTGCATTGTGGATCGGGTGGCGGCCAATGGAGGCCCTGGCGGTCCGATCCCCGGCTGACAAAACTGGCTTTCAGGAAATAGAATGTCACCTCTCTGGTGGGGAAGGAGCCTGAGCTTGTGCGTGAGGTTGAGAGATACCGACCAGATATAGTCGGGCTCACCTCAACGCACAGCGTGGGTTCTGGAACCAATATCCGGGAGAGGGGTTTGATGCTCTTCTTTAGTTGCGGCAGGTGAGCGACGCCGGGTGGAGGTGGGGCTACTGGTGGCCCCACAGCTTGGTGCACTAACAACGGAGTTTACCCCGGTGAACGAGAGGGCTGTCTCCCTCCGCCTTCGGGTCGAGGAAAGGTCTCTGACTGTCATCTGTGCTTATGCGCCGAATGACGGTTCAGAGTACCCAGCCTTCTTGGACTCCCTTAGTAGTGTGCTGGTTGGCGTGCCACAAGGGGATTCCATCATTTTGCTGGGGGATTTCAACGCTCACATGGGCAATGACAGTGTGGCCTGGAGGGGGGTGATTGGGAGGAACGGCCTCCCTGATGTTAACCCGAGTGGTGTTCTGTTATTGGACTTTTGTGCAATGCATGGTTTGTCCATAACGAACACCATGTTCGAGCATAAGGGTGTGCATAAGTGGACATGGTACGAACATGCCCGGGGCTACAGGTCGATGATCGATTTCATAATCGTATCTTCTGATCTGCAACCTTCTGTCTTGTACACTCAGGTAAAGAGAGGGGCAGAGCTGTCAACTGATCACTACCTGGTGGTGAGTTGGCTCAGGTGGCGGGGGAGGAAGCCGGTCAGATCTGGTAGGCCCAAGCACATAGTGAGGGTCTGCTGGGAACGTCTGGCAGAGGCTCCTGTTCGCCAGAGCTTTAACTCGCACTTCCGGCAGAATTCCAACTGCATACCGGGGGAGGTTGGGGACATTGAGTCTGAATGGACACTGTTCCGGACCTCCATTGTGGAAGCAGCCATACAGAGCTTTGGCAGTAACCCTTGTACCCGATGGTGGACACCAGAGTTGAGGGGGGCTGTCAAGCTGAAGAAGGAGGCCTACCGGGAATTATTAGCCCGGGAGTCTCTGGAGGCAGCTGACGGGTACCGGCAGGCCAGGCGGAACGTGGCTCAGGTGGTTGCAGAAGCAAAAAAACGGACGTGGGAGGAGTTCGGTGAGGCCATGGATAGTGACTTTCGGTCGGCCTCAAAAAGGTTCTGGCAAACCATCTGGAATATCAGGAGAGGGAAGTAGCTCCTGGTTACTACTGTTTATAGTGGGAAGGGGGTGCTGTTGACCTCATCTGGGGACATCACCCGGAGGTGGAAGGAGTACTTTGAGGACCTCCTCAACCCTGCTTCAGATACATCTATGCACACTGCCTTTGAGACACCTGAGGGCACAGAGCCCGAGGGTGCTGGGGGGGACTTGCCCATCACTGGGGCTGAGGTGGCCAGGGTGGTTAACCCTCTGGGGTCGAGTGCATTGTCGGCAACGCAGCATACTTTTCGCATCTATTTCAGTTTATATCTCGCTGAAATCTTAATGTAGAATCATGAAAAAACGCTGGCTAAATCCATAATCTGTCTTCTTTTCAAAACGTCTATTGTCGGAAGTATTAAAGTTTTTTAAATTAGGTTAAATCGGCAAAAAAGTAAACCATGTCATCTTACTTTGTTTTACCTTCATCGGGGGCGTGTAGTACCGCTGTCACCCGAAGATTGCTATTCACATTCTAAATAGCCGCATTAGCACATATTCAAATCGCATTCGCATGGTAATTTGATTAACAGCGCAACGGTGAAACGCGATCCAGAAACATCCTCATCAGCACCATAAAAGGGGGGTAGGGACGTGGCCAGGTGACAATGGCTCATTCATACACATGAAAGTTGCTACATATTCAATGAAAGGAGCCAGAAATAGTTACATGAGTTAGGTTTTTCTTATTTATTTATCCAAATGAATGTTGCAACTACACCATTTAGTCATCTTCATGTAGCTAAGACTTTGGTGATCAGATATCTGGGATCAAAACAAACTGCCAGCATTGCTTACTATGTACTTTTAGTATGTTTCTGCAAGTGTTCCAAACTGAATTTTGCAATGTCTATAGTTTGATGTCAAATAACAAAAATCTGACATATTTACAATATACATTAAAATAAAGATGAGTGTAATGGCAAAACAAATATCCATCCATCCATCCATCCATCCATCCATCCATCCATCCATCCATCCATCCATCCATCCAGCTTATCCTACTGGGTCGTGGGGGGTCTGGAGCCTATCCTGGAAGCAATGGGCACGAGGCAGGGAACAACCTTGGATGGGGGGCCAGCCCATTGCAGAGCACACTCGCACACCATTCACTCACACATGCACACCTAAGGGCAATTTAGCAATGCCAATTAGCCTCAGCATGTCTTTGGACTGTGGGGGGAATCCGGAGTACCCGGAGGAAACCCCACGATGACACGGGGAGAACATGCAAACTCCACACACATGACCCAGGCGGAGACTCGAACCCAGGTCCCAAAGGTGTGAGGCAACAGTGCTAACCACTGCACCACCATGCCGCCCCCCAAAACAAATATATAAGAAATTATTTATTTGCCATGAATTAAGTTTATGATATTTGAAGAAATGTGTGATCATGCCCCAGTCAGTGAAAGTGTGTTTCCTACCCCTAGACCCCAGAGGGTTAAAGAGCTACGTGGTGGCCGGGCCCCAGGGGTGGATGAGATCCACCTGGAGTACCTAAGGCTCTGGATGTTGTGGGGCTGTCATGGCTGTCACACCTCCTCAACAGTGCGTGGAGGTCAGGGACAGTGCCACTGGATTGGCAGACCAGGGTGGTGGTCCCCTTATTTAAGAAGGGGGACTGGAGGGTGTGTTCCAACTACAGGGGGATCACACTTCTCAGCCTTCCTGGGAAAGTCTATTCTGGTGTACTGGAGAGGAGGGTGAGATCAATAGTTGAATCTTGGATTCAGGAGGAAGAATGCAGTTTTCGTCCTGGCCATGGAACACTGGACTAGCTTTATACCCTTGCGAGAGTACTGGAAGGGGCCTGGGAGTTTGTCTATCCAGTCTACATGTGTTTTGTGGACTTAGAAAAGGCTTATGACTGGGTTCCCCGAGGTGCTCTGTGAGGGGTGCTTCGGGAGTATGGGGTCCAGGGACCACTGATGTGGGCGATTCTGTCCCTGTACGAATGGGAATGTCTACAGTTTTGCAGGCGCTTAACCGGTTCGTCGTGGCTAAGAAAGAAGCCAGAAAGCAAAGCTCTCGATCTATTGGTCCATCTTCATCCCTACCCTCACCTATGGTCATGAGCTATGGATAATGACCGAAAGAATGAGATCGTGAATACAGGCGGCCGAAATTAGGTTTCTCCGAAGGGTGTCTGGGCTCTCCCTTAGGGATAGGGTGAGAAATTCGGATATCCGGAAGAGTCTCAGAGTAGTACCGCAGCTTCTCCATGTCGAAAGGAGCCAGTTCAGGGGGTTTGGACATCTGGTGCAGATGCCTCCTGGGCGGCTACCTGGAGAGGTTTTCCATACATGTCCTACAGGGTGGAGGCCCCGGGGCAGACCCAGGACATGCTGGAGAGATTATATCTCTCGGCTGGCCTGGGAATGCCTCGGCATCCCCCCCGAAGAGCTGGTAGAGGTAGCTGGGTAGAGGGAGGTCTGGGTATCTCTCCTGAAGCTGCAACCCCCGCGACCCACACCTCGGACAAGCGGAAGTTAATAGATGGATGGATGGAAATTTGTATATAACACACAGCTTGGAGTGCATTAACCTACTTATACCATAGTAATTACCAGACATTTAGCTTACACATTTGTACTCAACATTTTATTAACCAAAAACGCATTTATTCATAGGACTAGGCAGAGTATACCTTTGTATTTCCTTTTCGCAAAACTGTATCTTGGTAGAACATTTCAAAATACAGGAATAGTGTTGTTTTTAATAAATACCATTGAAATACCATATTCTGTGGTGCAATGTCTGGACAGTAAGAAAAAAATTGTTACTACCCAAGCCTATTACTATTAAACAATTTGCTTATATATGACACAAATCACTGTTTTTAATTTGAAAATAGTCCGTTACTATAATCATACGCTAGCAATTATTCAAACTTGCCTGCTGCTAAGCCCAAAAGCCAGTCTAATGCAGGTTTGGAGTGCATAAACCCGCTTATACCACGGTTACCACACAACTGGCTTACATGTTTGTGCTTGAAGATATTACTCACAAACCAAAACGCATTTATTGGTAAAACACTTACGTAGGCTTGAGCGGTTTTTCCTTTCAGCAAAAATTAATCTTGGGGGACTCCCCACCCTGTGAACTTTATCACCAAGATTTCCAAAATAAAGGATAGCATTGCTTTTGAAAGTCAAAATATTGCATACTGCATGTAATATCTGGATGTTATAGACATAAACATAACAACTCAAGTTACCTTCTTTGAGTCGTATTTAATTTGGGTGAAATCGAATTTTTCATACTGTCCAGACATT